GACCATGGTATCTTTGAGATGAAAAGTGCGTCCTAGAATGCGTTTTTGCATTCTAGGACGCATCGGTAAACAAAGATGGGGGGGTCGCCCCCCCAGACGGGGTGTGAAGTCTGCGGTCGTCCCTTCGCCTTGCGCACTACCGCTCTTCCGCCATCGAGCCTTGGCTCGAGGAGCGCTGCTTCCGCACACACACACTACGCTGCCGCCGCACCAAGAGCCTCGCTCAGACCGCGAGCTATGTGATGAACTCACCCGTCAAGGCCGCTGACTGCGTCTTGACGCAACTCGGCGCACGCGGCGCAGTGGAGAGGTGCGTGCGAGGCTGGTGCGCTGCCCGCGCGGCGCTCCACCGGTCGCAGCGCGCCAGCCTCGCCCGCCTCGCCATGCCAGCAGCCGGGCGCGCGCGGGAGAGGTGCAGAGCTGGCGCGTGGCGGGTCATGGTCGCCGAGATCTGGACGCGCAGGACCGCCCGGACGGCGAGGCTCGAGCGAGCGCCTGTGTGGAGGTCGAACGGCGTGTGGGAGGGCGGTGGGCCGCGAGAGAGTCGCGCAGCCCCGCGTGTGTGGACCGGTGGCGCTTCGGGTGGCGTATCGGGCCGTCAGAGGCAGATACGTGGCGCAGCGAGTGCGAATACATGCAATAATTTGCACGCACCGTGCCGAGCCGACCCGCGTGCACGATCGGAGCACCTCAAGGCGGCGCGAGAGGCGGTGTGTCGAGGTGCCGCGGCCCGCGGCTGCAGCGTGTCGAAACGGCGCTCTCGGAGGCGCCGCGGTGGCGGCCGAGCGCGCGGGATCGGCGAGAAAATTTGACGGCGTGCCGGCCGTGGGCCCGGACGAAGGCGCCGCCGGCTCGGATTGAGACCAGTGGCATCAGGGGCGCCTCCAGCACTCAAGACAGTAGCACGCTGTTTCTGTCTTGGCCGCCACTGACGCGAAAATCCTATCTCGCGCCCTCGTTGGGTAGAGAGTGCTTGATTCACGGACCATTCACGGACAGCGAGGCTGGCCGCACAGCGAGGCTGGCCGCAAGCGGAGCTCCCCACCGGCGGCGGGTTTGAAGACACTGAGACGAGCGCGCCGGCGGCGGACCGCCGCCGGCGCGCTCGCTTCGGCGGATGGCTGAGCGGCACAGTTTCTGGCCGCCCGGCCTGCGAGCAGTCACCGCGAGACGATCGAAGGCGCTCAGTTCAAGCGCGCCGCCATGCCAGATCTCGCCCCACGCCCCGACCAGACCGGGCAGTACGTGCAGGAATGATGCAGGCATGATGGATGGGTGTGGTGAGCACGCCAGTGGCACCGCTGCGCACTCTCAGGGTCGCAGCCGCCTATCTCGTGAGGGGCGTGGCTCGGGGCGGGTGCGAGAGAGTCGAGGAGCGCGGCGCGCGCGTGCGCGCGCGTGGTAAGTCGGTTTATATTTCATCACTGGTACAAAAGAGACCCAAAACGGCACGCGCGCCGCGCGCACGCGCGCTCGCATCACCTCAACACTCACACAGCAAATCAAAGAGATGCGGCCAGGCGCGCTCCGTTCGGGTTTCTTCGATCAAAAGAGGGAGAGAGGCCCCAAATTACGTGTGAGTGTTAGAGTTGTTTAAGAGGGACGGCAGCGAATCTCTACACAGCTCATGCATACGCCTAACTGGGCCTCAGACCCCCGACCGCGTCCCGGTGCTCTGTGGTCGGATTTGTGACGCCGCCGCACCGCGCCGCCCGCGGCCGGGGGCCCTCCGGAGGCCAAGGATGGCCGTGACGGACCGGGACGAGCTCTGGGAGGTTCAGTGTCAGTGTATATATTGTAGAGATCAACCATGTGCACAATATCTCTCAGTCTAGCTAAGCCTGGGAAGGCGATGCCGGGGCCGTACAGCAGCTTGATGGTGCTTCGCCGGCGTGCGTCCCGGAGCGGTGCCGGACGGGCGGTCCGTGGGAGGAAAACGAGGGACAGCGCCGACGGCGCTCTGATTCGACTTTTGACTTCAAACAAAGCCTACCGCACGCGCCGCGTCGCGGCGCGTGCGTGCGGTAGGCACTCGGGATTTTGTCATGACCGTTTTTATTTATTTATTTACCAAACCTTGCTCAAGGTTCTTGGGTGCAAAGAGCGCGGCCACAAGTCACAGGGCCCGCTCGTCCATGCGACCGGCAAAGGCTGGGTCAAAGAGCACAAGGGACAGTACTACGACGCGCTCCATGTCATTCTCCATGTCAAGAACGGAATCGTCAAGATTTGTCTCGTCGAAAGCCAGGGCGGCATCGCGCCGCCAACCAAGAGAATCATCCACAACTTCGCCAAAGAGGTCGGCAGCCCGAGCGCCGTCGACCGCACCGACTACGGCACAGCCTCCGGCAGCGCCCAGGGCTTCGCCCAGCACCACTCGCAACAGCTCTCGCGCGCCGCCGTCTGTGGCGACGCGCAGAACATCAACAACGCTGCTCGCAACATGCGTGTCGCGCACTCATTCATGACCGGTCTCAATGTCCCACCCCCCTGCGCGCGGGCGGGCCTTCTAGGCCCGCGGGTAGTCTCCCCCCATCCCCAGGGCCTCCAGGGCTCGCACCTCAACCTCTCACAGACCAGCGCACAGCGCCATAGGAGGTATTTTCTTATCAATAACAAGGCTGTGAAGGAAAGGAAGAAAACCGTGCCGAGCGAGAAATTCTTTTCACGCGTGCCGATGTGTGTGCTGGTGTGCGCCAGTCCACGCCCTTGTCGTGCCAGTGGTACTGTGAGAGATAGGCGTCAAAGATGGCGGTAACCTTCTTTTTTCAGATCATGAGCTAGCCTTCGTTGTTAATATGAAAACAAGAAGGGACTCACACATGTCGCCGCACACACACACACACACCGCACCGCACCCCGAAGCAACCCCGCGCCCGCCGCCCCACCGCCCCGCCTACCTATAGGTGGGAAAGAGAGGAGGAGATGGGATGTCCACAGCGAATGAGGGAGTCTAGGAAATCTTTTTCTGCCTCGCCGTCCTCGCAGGAGTCGCTTAGGCGGCTCCCGTGGTGTACCTGTGTCGCTCGCCCCTTTTCTTTTTCTCCCAGTGCCTTTGGCGGCGCAAAGGTGTCTGTACACCACACACACCTTTCCAAGCTCGCACGCAGGGCGGTTCGAAGAGCCGCGCGCTTTGGGAAGGCGCTTGGAAAGCCCGGGCAAGCGCGATGGGCAAGAAAAATGCGTCCAAAGATAACGGTAAGGCGAAGCCTCGGGACCCGCCGCCGCCAAACCCAAAGGTCTTACGCAGCAGTGGCGGTTCCAAGCCGGCGGTCTGGCTGGTCGCGCCGGCGATGATTGCGCTTCTCGCTGCCGGTGTCGCGTACGTCGGTTGGCCGCAGGGGGCGCCGCCTCACGCGACCCTGCATCAGCAGAATGTCACCTCGGCAGTTGAGTCGGCTGCATCGGCGGCTGCATCGGCATCGTCGGCGGAGCTGCCGCGCGGGTGGGGATCGGCGATGGACCCGTCGAGCGGCAAGCCGTACTACTACAAGCTCGCGACGCGCGAGTCGACGTGGGAGCGGCCGACCGAGCCATGCGACGACGAGTCTGTCGTCGCATCGGCCGAGCAGCAGCAGCAGCAGCTGGGGAAGGAGGGCGAGGACGTGCACGAGCACTGCGGCTACTGGGCGGCGGCGGGCGAATGCGCCTCCAACCCCTCCTTCATGGAGCAGCAGTGCAAGACCTCCTGCGCCCACACCGCCGCCGCACTGAAGTCTGGCAAGGCTGCGAGAGGTCTCGCGTCTGGAAAGGCGCGAGGGCACCCCACCACACACACCACTCACACCACTCACACCACGCCACAGCCGGGCGCTCCTCCTTGCCCCGGACTGCGCCATGGACCGCATGGAGCCGCGTAGAGCCGGCGGCGCCTGGCGGGCGAACCTTCCGCGAAGCTTCTCGGAGCCTTCCCGCAGGTGGACACCTGGAAGACGCCTTCCGACTGCCTCGCGTGGGCAACCTCGGGCGAGTGCGAGAACAACAAGCCGTTCATGCTCGCGACTAGATGCGGAGCACGGACCCGTGTATACCGGCACGTCGAGAGGACACGCATAGCAAGCCGCGCATGATTCACGCGATGCTGGGAGTACCTTTAAGGTACACGGCAAGAGGCCCTCCTCCCGCCCCGAGCCCTCTTGTGTGCTCGTGGCGTAGGCTGGCGAACTGCGCGGCCTCGTGCTCGCCCGAGGAGCGGGCGGCGGCGGAGGAGCGGCTCCAGGTCCGAGAGGGCGCGAGAGGGCGCGAGAGGGCGCGAGATGCGCATGTGGGGGATAAGGCGTCGCCAGGGCCGTGCCAAGGTCTAAGCTCTAAGCTCTGTGTCTCTCTCTCCCGTGCGTGCGCAGGCGGCGCGGTCTGAGTATTGGGCGCGGTGCCCACGGCCAGCCGGGGCAGAGCCAGCGCTGGCGGCCGGAGCGAGAGGGGCGACCGCAAGCCGCGAGATCGCGGTTCGGCGAGAGCGGACTCTGCTGACAGGCGCCCGGCGCTATGAACGAGACCTTCCAGCGGATCCTGGCGGACTTCGGCGAGTCTCCCCTCCCTCTCCCTCCCTCTCTCCCCCTCCGCCCCTCCCTCCCTTTCTTCCCCTCTCTCGCCCGCGCGGGTACCGTCCTCCCCGAGCAGCTCCGCCTCTCTCCCGCCTCTCCAGGCCACCTGCAGCCCGAGCTCGTGTCGGCCGACCCGCCGGTGCTGCTCTTCCACTCCTTCCTCTCCGACGCCGAGGCACACACGCACTCACGCACACACACACACACACACAACACAACACACACACAACACAACACAACACACACACACACGCACACACACACACACACACACACACACACACACACACACACACACACACACACACACACACACACACACCACACACACACACACACACACACCACACACCACACACCACACACACACACCACACACACCACACACACACACACACACACACACACACGCACAGCCGTGGGGCTCCTGTCTCTCGACGTGGAGTCGCGAGGGCTGCCCCGGCCCCTGCCCACCGCCCTCGTGTGCGTGGAGAGAGTCTGCCTGACCTGACCTCAGGCGGACACCTTCGTCGCGCACGGGCGTGGAAAGTACGCCGAGTCGCGCGGCGTCGGCTTCGACAAGGTTCGCAGAGAGGGGCCGGGAGAGGAGAGCAGAGGAGATGAGAGCAGAGGAGATGAGAGCAGAGGCGCGGCGTCACGTCCACGACGCGTGCACGCCACGCCCCCCCGACGAGAGGAGGCGAGGTGACCGGCGGCGAGGCGGAGATTGCCCGAGAGTACCCGAGCTTACCCGAGGTTAGGACGGCAAGATGACCGACGTCAAGACGGAGATCCGCACCTCGAGGCACACCTGGTGCCAGGAGCGGGACTGCCTCTCCGACCCGCTCGTCCAGGCGGTGCAGGAGAGAGTGAGCGATGTCACGCGCACGCCGGTCGCAAACGGCGCGCCCGCACCGAGACTGGCCGCCGCGAGATGGCCGCGAGATCGAGATGGTCGCGAGATTGCCGCGAGATCGAGATGACCGCGAGATTGCCGCGAGAGGAGGCCAGTCGCCACCGACGTGCCCGCTTCCCGCCGGACCCCGGTCAAAAAAGGCCCCGTTGAAGTTGGGGCCCCCCCCCAGGGAGCGGAAACCGGCCCGGCCCTTCCCCGGGGCCCCCCCCCGCCCAGGGGAGTTTGCGCAGCTCGTGTATTAAAACGGGTGCCCCGCAGAGGGCGACAAGTTGTGCCCTTTTTACAAGCGCCCCTCGGATTACATGGAGGGAGACCGCCCCCGGGTCCAAGGCGGAAAGCACGCCTGCCGAAGCAAAGCACGCACCCCTGCGGAAGGGCCGCCCTCCCACCACCCGCCTTCCCAAATCCGCCGCCTTCCTCGTTATCCACTGGGGGAAGTGGGCCCCCCCCCCCCCCCCCGCCCGCCCGCCCGCCCCGCTCTCGCTCCGTCGACGGCGGCCGTGTGCCGTTGCCTCGCAGGCGTGCGAATCTTCACGCTCTTCATGTACCTGAACGACGTGCCCGAGGGCGGCGGCGGCGGGACCCGCTTCACCGACCTCAAGCCCGAGCCGATCACCTTCATGCCCTCCAGGGGCAAGGCCGTCCTCTGGCCCTCGGCGAGATATAGCCGAGATGTAACCGAGATCTAGCTGAGAGACAACCTCCGCGCACAGCGAGGCTTGGAGCGCGCACATTCACACCGCCCCGGCGTGAGCAGGTGCTCGCCGACGCGCCCGACACGATGGACCCGCGCACGCACCACGAGGCGCTCAGATGATGGATAGAGGCGTGATACAGTCTGGCCAGCGACTGGACACGGGCGTGGTGGAGGATGACGCAAGGCGGAGAGGCGCATATGGAGCGACACATAGACACATACACACACAGCACAAGACGCTCCGACACACATCTTGAGTGTACGTCACTCAGGGCCGCGCCGGTCGCCCTCCCACCGCAGGCGCTCCCGGTGTGGTCGGGCGAGAAGTTCGGTGCCAACTTCTGGATCCACCAGTACGACTTTCGGTCGGCGCACGCGTCGGGCTGCACCATGGGGTGACGGGCGGGCCGCTGGGTCACAGCTGACAGTATTCGAACCTCGATATGTGGGAAAGCTCTCTCTTCCGTGGTGTCATAGGTCTAGTGTGTGTGTGCGCGCGCGCGCCCGAGGGCCCAGGCTCTTTGCGTGTTTTTACGGCGCGGAGAGAGAGTGTGTGTGCTGCCTCTCGAGGGGAGTGCTTCCTCTCAGTACTGATCAGCGAAGCCGGACGGGCATAAAAAAATCGATAAAAAATCCATGGGGGCGAGTCTGATATGGAGTCTATCGAGCCTGCTGCCCCCGACCCCAACTGGCTGCCTCCGCAGCGGAGACAGACCACAGCGCGACTAGTGGCGTACTGTGGCTTCGGAGGCGATGAGGCCTTCGCGGAGGCGGCCGTTGCAGGCATGCCAGAGCGGCGCACACTGCTCTCGCAGCCCACCACTCACGTGTCCTGGCCTCTGCCTCTGCAGACAGCGCGTGGTCGAGCTCGCGCGGCGGCGGCGGCGCTGCGACCGCATCTGCGCTGCCGGTCGAGCCTGCAGGCGCGCATCTCCCGGCCCTCCCTCGCAGCAGCTCTCTGACTCTGACCAAGCCTCTGCCACCGCCTGCCGCAGCTGCCGACCCTGAGGACACCAACGACGACTTCTGTCGGCAGTGCGGCGGCGGCGGCGACCTGCTGCTGTGCGACCGCTGTGACCGCTCCTACCACATGTACTGCCTCGACCCGCCGCTCGAAGTCGCGCCTGAGGGAGAGTGGCACTGCCCGGTGAGCGCCCTGCGGCGCCCGCGCCGGCTGCGGTGTGAGCACGCTCCGGGGACGCCGAGGGCTCGCTCCTGCGCCCTCGCAGGCGCACTCGTCGACGCGGCGCAACGTCAACAAGGAGCTCTCCGCGCTGACTCGCGAGACGGACGCCAAGGTGCCACCAGCAGCCCGCGCGCCCCGTCGTCCGCCGCGCGCCTGCGCCTCCCTTGAGCCTCCTCCCTCGCGCACCGCGCGCCGCGCTCCGCGTGCGGCCGCGCCGGGGCGCCTTGTCACCCCACCCCCCCTCTACCCCTCCGCGCGCCCGCGTCGCCGACCGTCCCTCCGCGCGGCCAGGCGCAGTTTGGGCAGAGCTACCGGCAGCCGCGCGTCGACGCCGCCCGCTTCCAGGCCACGTGTCCGCCGCTCCTCACGCCGTCCGAGCGCGCCGCCGCTCCCAACGGGGACGCGAGCGCGCCGCTCTGGCGTCCCGGCTGCGTCTCCGTCCCCGCGCTCGTCGACTTGCTCGCCTTTGGCCACCGGCTGGTGAGGCGCGAGTTTTCGTCGGCGGCGCGGTACAACGAGGGGCTGATGGTGCACCTGCACCTGTGCGGGTACGAGACGCTGGAGGCAAAGTACGCGCTGCTCGCCGCCGCGAAGCTCATCGCGGCGCTCCCCGCCGAGCAGCGCGATGCCGTCTTCAACGACGGACACCGCGAGGGGGACTTGCTGCTGGCGGCGCTCAGCGAGGCGCACGGCGGCGCCGGCGAGCCGGCCCACCTGCCGCGCGGCGCCCCCAGCTGCGAAGTGGAGCTGCCCGAGGCGTGCTGCGGGCTGCGGGTGGGCCAGCTGCGCGCGCCGCAGGACGAGATGGCGCGGCTGCTCGCCGAGGCGGAGGCGAGTTGGGAGGCCGACCGCTCAAGCGGCGTCGCCAGCTGGGTGCGCGACCTCGACGCGGCCGTCGCGGGGAGTGAGCTCTCGCTCGAGCGCGTTGGCGAGCTCGTCGCGGCCGGCACCGCCGCGCTAGGCGTCGACGCGTCTCTCTTTGGCGTCACGGGCCGCGACGCCGCCCCGCCGCCGCTCGAGCCGCCGCTCGCCCGCCTGAAGCTTCTCACCGCCGAGCACTGCGCCGCCAAGCGGTGGCACCGGAGGCACGGCGCGGTCCTGACCTCGCAGCAGCCGCTCGCGCAGATGCGCGCCGCGCTGCGCGAGGCGGACGCCGCGGATCCGCCGCTCCGGCTCGCGGAGGCGCGCGCGCTGCGAACGCGGCTCGAGCAGGCCGAGGCGTGGCTCAGGGCCCCCGAGGCGAGCCTGGTGGAGGCGAAGGAGCTTCGCGAGCTGCAGGCAGAGACGCGCCGCGAGTACCGAGATCATCGAGAGTAGCCGAGATTCATCGGGATCGCCGAGAGTCGTCGAGGCGGAGGAGCTCCGCGCGTCTCGCGTGGGTGGTCTCGCCACTGCGGCCAGCCTTGCCGCTACCCTCCCCCCGCCCCTTTCCTCCCTTTGCCTCCCCCCTCCAGGAGGCCCCCCTTGGGCCGCCTTTTACCGCCCCGCCCCCCCCCCCCCCCACCCCCTGCGTGCAGGAGCTGCAGCGCGAGGCGGAGGTGCTCCGGCTGCAGGCACCCGAGGTGGCGGCGCTCCGCGCGCGCGTCGCCGCGAGCAAGCGCTGGATGGCGCGCGTGCACGCGGACCTGCTCCGGCGCACGTCCTCGCGCGGCAAGGCCTCTGCCAAGCTGACCGAGGCGGAGGCAGAGGCGCTGGTGCGCGAGGCGGCGGAGCTGCACCTGCGCGCCGAGGAGACGGAGCTGGTGCGCGCGCGGCTGAGCGAGGCGGCGGCGTGGAAGGCGGAGGTCGGCGCGGCGCTGGGCGCGACATCGGGCGTCGGCGTCGAGGCGCTGCTGCCGACAGCGCGGCTGCTCAGGCGACCCTTCCCTGAGCCTCCTCGCAACCCTCCTGTAGGCGCTGCAGCAGATGGAGCGGCTGCACGCGCGCGGCGAGCAGGAGCTCAATTTGGCGCTCAACGAGTTGGGCGTACTCGAGGCGCGCGTCGGAGAGAGCCACCGCTGGATCGAGAGCGCAAAGGCGGCCCTCGAGGGGTCGAGCTGCAGGGAGCCCGCCGAGCTGGTGGCGCTGATGGGCGATGGGCGGCGGCTCGGCCTCGCGCTCCCCGAGATGCAGCAGCTCGCGCAGTCCCTCAAGGAGAGCGAGTGGGCGGAGCAGGCACAGGCGGCCGTCGACGAGGCTTGCGCAAGATCGAGGTGCTCGAGGCGCTCTCCAGAACACGCCCCTAAGATGTCTCGGACGCGTCCCAGGCGACGACCCTCGAGGTGCTCGAGGCGCTCTCGGAGCAGGCGGAGCACCAGCCGACGGGGCGGGTGTCCGCCCTGGCCGAGGCGCTCGCCGCAAAGGTGGCGCGCGGGCGCGAGTGGTCGGCCAAGCTCGAGCGCGAGATGGCGGAGGAGGATCGGACCTCGCTGCGCGACGCGGCGGCGATGGTGTCCGAGGCGGGGGGGCGGGTGTAGGCCCGAGCGCGGCCCGAGGTCCGCCGATATCACCCCATATTGTGCGGGAGCGTAGGTGGAGGCGGCCAAGCTCAAGCTGCCCAAGCTGGGCAAGCTGCGCGAGTGGGTCGCCCGTGCAAAGGCGTGGCAGGACAGCGCGCGCAAGGTGCAGGCCAAGCAAACGCGCGGCGCGAGCCAAAAGCCGGCGCTCTCCGAGCTCGAAGCGATGCTCGCGGTCGGCCTCGAGCTGCCGCTCGACGTGCCCGAGGCGCCCCTCCTCGCGAGGCAGGTGCGCGAGGCGTCCGACGTGGAGCGTTGCGCCGAGACGTTGCTCGAGGCCGCCGAGGAGGTGACGAAGCCAGAGCCAGCCGCAGATGCAGATGCCGCCGCCGCCGCCGCCGACGCCGCCGCCACACCCACCGCCGTCGACCCGACCGCCTCCGCATCCGACGCCGCCTCCGACGCCGCAGTCGCCACCACCGCCACCGCCACCGCCACCGCCCCCACCGCCGAGGATGCCGACGCCGACGCCGGCAGCGACTCGTCCGACGCCGGTTCGCTCGACCCGCGCGTCGAGAAGGTCGCGTCCGAAATGGACGAGCTGCTGCTGCGCGCGAGCGGGCTCAACGTCTCGATCCCGCTCACCGAGGTGCTGCGTGTCTGCCGCTGGAGACTCGCGCTGCGCGCCGCGCGTGCCAAGCCGCAGCTTGCGGAGCTGCAGGATCTCATCAAGCAAGGGCGCCAGCTCGGCCTGTGCCAGTACGCGGCCGCGCCAAACCTGAGCGAGGGCTCCACCTCCTCCTCCTCCTCCTTCGCTTCGGCCGCCTCCAACGGCCGCATCTCGCGCAACGGCACGGAGCGGCCGCCCTCGCGCCAGTCGCAGCGCCGTGGGGGCGGCCGAGAGCCGGACACGCCGGCGGGCACGCAGGGGGCGCCGGCGGGCGGCGCCGGCGGCTCCGCGCCGCCGGAGGGCGAGGGCGCGACTGACGAGAGCAGCGACGAGTCGTCGCCGCGCTCGCTGGGCGAGATGCGGCGCGCGGGCGCGGAGCTGCGCGTGATCGGCGAGCTGGTGGCGCAGACGGAGGCGTGGGAGGAGGAGGCCGAGAAGATGCTCTCGTCGGAGCGGGTGAGGGTGGAGGAGCTGGAGGCGCTGCTGCGGAGGGGCGAGGCGCTGCCGCTCGCGAGCGACGCGCGCGACTACTTGGCGGCGGCCTACTCCGACGCGCAGCGGTGGGAGAAGGCGGCGCGGGGGCTCGTGGGGAGCGACGCGCGCATCGAGGAGGTGCAGAAGCTCCTCAAGGAGTACGTCAAGGGCAACTTGCACTCGGACGCGATGGAGGAGCTTCGGGCCCGCGCGCGCGAGGGCGAGGCGTGGCTCCGCGAGGCGCGCGACCTGTTCGACGACTGCGGCATCGAGCTGCCGGACCTGACGGCGGTGCTACGCTCCGACCAGGCCGACCTCTATTGCGTCTGCCGGCAGCCCGACGACCTGCAGCGGCTGATGCTCGCCTGCGACACGTGCGAGGTCTGGTACCACATGCACTGCGTCGGCGTGCCGCCCGCCAAGGCCAAGCAGTTGGCGGCGTCCAACGACGAGTTTGAGTGCCCGGCGTGCGCGCGCAAGTCGGGGAAGCCGTACCCCTTCTCCGCGCGCGTCAAGAAGGTGCCGCCCAAGAAGACGCCGCGCGCGTCCGAGGTTGCGGAGCTGCTGCGCAAGGCGGACCAGCTGCGCGTCTGCGTCGAGGAGGCCGCCCTGCTGCGGGACGCGCACGCCGCGTGCCTTGAGTGGCACGCGAAGGAGGCGCCGAAGCTCCTCGATGCGCTCTCCGCCACCACCCCCGCCGCCGACCCGGCGGCCGACGGCGCCGGAGACGGAGACGGCAAGCTCTCGACGGCGTGGGCACGAGTGGGCGGCGGCGCGCTCGCGCGCGGGCTCTACGACGACGGAGAGGCGTACCGCGTCGAGCCCGAGCTCATGTCGCTCCTCAAGGCGTGGCGCTTCCGCCGTCTCCTCCACGAGGCGCGCGGGCTGCCGCTTCCCGCGCTTCCCGCCGAGGCGGCGCCCGCGGCGTCCGCAGCGCTTGCTGCATCGCCCGCGCCAGCGCCCGCGCCCGCGCCAGCGCCTGCGCTTGCGCCCGCGCCGCCGGACGGCGCCGATGCAGACGTCAAGGCGGACGTACACGCCGACGCGGCGGCGCTGCTCGAGATGTCGCTCGGCTGCGCTGAGACCAAGCTCGAGGCGAGCCCTCCGGGTGCGGCCGCTGCGCCCGTGCAGGGCGTGGCCCTCGCCGCCAAGCGCGAGCCCGCGCCCGGCGCGGGCCGCGGCGTCGACCTGGCAGAGCTGCAGGCGGTGCTTGACCTCGCCGTCGAGGAGGGGGTCGCCGAGCCGCAGGAGGAAAGCGGGCCGCGTGGCGCGGCCGGCGGCCACGCCAAAGCTGCCGCCGCGCAGCCGGCGTTGGAGGAGGCGGGCGAGCCCGGTTGCGGGCGGTGGCGGCCGTTTTACGAGCGCGAGATGGCGAGCCTCGCGGAGGACGTGGCCGCCTCGCGCTTCATGCTACGGGAGGCGGAGGCGTGGAAGCACGACGCGGCCAATTTCGCCAAATCGTCCGTGCCGGTCGACCCCGAGGCCCTCGCTTCGCTGCTGGGCCGCGCGCGTGCCTCGTCGCTGCGGCTGCCGCCGATGCCAGCTTTGGAGGAGCGGGCGGCCAAGGTGGGGCGATGGGCGGCGGCAGTCGGCTCCTTGCTCGATGACGCTGCGGCCCGCGCCGCCTCGGGCGCCAGCGGCGTCCCGATCGACGAGGCGACGCGGCTGCACGCCGAGGCGCTCCGCTTGCGCGTCAAGGGGGCGAGGTGGGAGGCGCTGTTGGCGGCGTTTGCGTCGCTGCGTGACGGGGTGGAGGAGGTGCGCACTTCGCTCGTCCACCACGTGAGTGCGGCCGCTGTGGCGGACGCGATCGCGGTAACGCGGTCGTCCGGCATTTTCCTCACGGCCGAGGAGCCCATTTTTGTGGACTTGCTGGTGCGGCTGCAGCCGGCGCCGCTGCTGGCCGGGCCGGCTATGGCCAGCACGGGGGGCGGCGCGACGATTGCCGCGCCGCAGGTGATCCACGCCAACGGGACGTCGGCGCGCCCGATGCAGATGCCCGGGCAGGTGGCGTGGACGGCGGCGCCGGTGCCGCAGTGCTACGTCCTCCAGCCCCACGAGGTTCAGATGGGCCTGCTCGGGCCGCCGCACGCGCAGCGGCACGTGTGGGCGCAGCACACGGTCCCCTCGCCCCTCACGCAGCAGCAGCAGCAGCAGCAGCAGCAGCAGCAGCAGCAGCAGCAGCAGCAGCAGCAGGCCATCCAGGCGCTCCCGCAGCAGCAGCATCAGGTCTTCCTTCACCACCACCAGCAGCCGCCGCCGCTGCAGCAGAGCCTGCCGTCAGACCCAGCGCAGCCTCAGCCGCCGCTCGTCGCTCAGGTGCTCTTCTGCGACTCCCCTCTTCCACACGACGGCCCCCTCTCACCCCCTCCTGCCATTATGAATAGGTCGCTCCTCATCCAGCTCAGGAGCAGCAGCCATCGGCGGCCGCGGCCGCGGCGGCGGCCGCGGCCGCGGCGGCTGAGGCAGCGGCGGTTACGGCGTCGGTGGCCGCCACGCCGCCGCCGCCGCAGTTCGTGCAGCCGCTGGTGGCGCAGGTGGCGCCGCCGCCGCCGCCGCCACCGCAGCCGCCGCCGCAGCCGCCGCCGCAGCCGCCGCAGCAGCAGCCGCCGCCGCTGATGACGGCGCGAGTGCAGCCGCCGCCGCCGACGAGGAAGCAAATGCAGGCGTCGTCGTCTCGGCCGCCCCACGCCGAGCCGCGCTCCGCGACGGGTCTACACGGCATGTCCGCGCGGAGCGTGGGCGGCGCGCGGCTGAGGGTATACTACGAGGAGGACGGGCGGCTGGTCGGCTACCCCGGTTCGGCCGAGTCGGTGGACGCCTCCAAGGGCCTCAAGGTGCGCCTCGACGGCTTCTCCAAGCGCGAGTGGGTGACGGACGACGACGAGTGGGAGTGGATCGACGGCGCAGTCGGCGCTGACGGGACGCGCCCGCTCGAGCACTATCTCGGCAGCGTGTTGCGGCAGTACATCGTCCGCTTGGCGCAGGCGAAGGAGCGGTTCGCGAACCTCGCCGAGGCAGCACTGCCGCCGGCTCCGGCGGGTAAGCGGCAGGCGGCCGGCGCGGCGGGCGGAGGCGACAAGAAGCGCGCCAAGCCCACGGCGTCGCAGGGGGCGGGCAAGGCGGGCAGGGGCAAGAATATAGCCGCCGAGGCGCCCGCTGGCAAGCGGCGCAAGCAGTGACCGCGCGAGGACGTTTGCACTCACTTGTCCATCCCCATCACAGTTTTCACACAAAACCCATCACACCTCACGCATCAGAGAGTTAGTTCCGCGCGGCGGGGTCGTGCGCACACGCACACTGTAGTGTAGACACCGCGCACTGTGACACACGAGACACGTGTCTCAGTCGTATTCCGTTTTTTTTTAAGCGAGAACAAACACGGGACACACGCGAGGTTACTTCCCCCAGGATTGGTCTTCTCTGCATGCGGGAACACCCTCGGGCGGCCGGGTGGGGCTGCGGCTGGAGCTAGCATGGCTCGATAGAGCCGAGACCCCGTGTTGAGGCGGCGCTCCTGTGGGCGGCTGTGGAATCGGGAGATATTCGAGATAGCCAGATCTCCCGATCTCATCCCAGTGATGGACGTCCGTACGTCCCTTCTTAGTGATTGTGTTTCGGACGGCCCTTCGTTGTGTTCTCCTCCGTCCGCCAGCGAGACTGGCTCAGTCGCTGGCGACCACAGTTCTCTGTGAGGTGGGAGGAGAGGAGAGGACGCAGTGAAGATGGCGCAGCAGCAGGCCCCGCCAGCTGCGCAAGCGCCCATCGTCGTCGTCGTTGACGAGGTTCAGATCACCAGTGATGCAGCGCTCGTTCTCGCTCCAGGGGCTCAGCACGTAAAGGACCACACGCCTTGTCTGAGTTGGACCACGGTGTACGACAATGCAGGAGCAGTGACCAACTACACCCTGGGGCAGAGTGACGCCAAGGGCGCCTTCCTGCCGCGGTGCCGGTTCAGCGTGGACCAGCAGACAGGCACCCTCCTCGATGGGAACCACGTTCTCAATGTGCTTTTCAATGGGGCATTCTGGTCGCGGCTTCTGACCGCTCTGGACGCGGCGAACCTCTTTGCCACTCCCATGGAGAAGATCGGCGTGTTACACCAGCGGCTCGCCGGTCTGGCAATGGCCAACCCAGGGGTCTGGGTGATCTCGCACTCGGACATCTTTCTCGGTGAAGACTTTGACGCGCCCGCCGTCCCAGCGCCGGCCGCGGGGAGAGGCCGGGGCCGCGGTCGAGGGGGCCAAGCCGCGGCCGTGGTGCCGGTCGTGCCAGGACCACAGGACCTGCTCTTCCTTACGCATCTCCCGCTTCGCGCGCTCGAGGCGGGCGGGGAGTTGCCTCTGCTGCTGTACTCGCTGCTCTCTTTCCATTTGGGACCGATAGCTACAAGGGCGGCCCGCCTGCCCCTGGCAGCCCCCGCGAGACTCACGGCCGGCCTTCTCCAAGGAGCTATCGTGCAAAGCGTGGGGGCGGCGGCCGCCAACCCTACGATGCTCGCGCTCCAAATCCCTCGCTTGCTCAAGGGCGCTTCGCTCCCCGTCATCTTTCAGTCTACCTCCGCGGACCCACACACGAGGCTCGAGGACTTCACGGACTTGCTCCGCATGCAGGCCGGCGGGGTAGATGAGAGGCGGCGCATCGAGGAGCGGCGGATCATGCTCGCCACCTCGCTGGGCGCGCTCTACCAGCTAGTCATCCAGCCGTCGCCCTCGGTCTCGACTGCAAATACCTTGGTAAGCCGCCTGGCCGCCAAGATTCTGACCGCGCCTCAGCTTAAGCTCTCGCTGGCGGACCAGCTGGCCATCCTCGCGACGGCCGTTCATGATCGGCAGCACCTAAGGGGGCGGGGGGGGGGGGGGGGGGGCGCACGGCGTGGCCCCGTCGTAGGTCTTGGTCTGCCAATCATCGAAGACACCATCCTTCGAAGCCTGCTGCCAGGTGGAGCAGCACGCCTTGTCGTACCAGCCTGGCTCGGAGGGCGAGGAGGCGGGAGGGGCGGTCGGTGAGGGTGGGCGAGGGTGAGAGCCAGGCGCGTGGTATATGCACCCGGGCAGCCGCGGAAGCCCTCGTTGATGCCGTCGATGCTCGGGGCGAAGTCTTTGAAATAGTAGACGCCAGGGTCGGCGGTGTGTGCAGCTTGGATCTTGGTCGAGACGACGGACCACCTGCAAGACATCAACAGGATTGGGGTGCGTGCGGTGTCGGCATGCCCCATTCGGCGGCGGTCTCAGGACGGGGAGGGAGGTGCTTCCACGTACATGAGCCAGACGGCAAAGCCCATGAGTAGGTTCGGGATGGAGGCCTAAAGGAAGGATCCGAGCAGGTTCGGAGAAAGAAGCGCACAGGAGAGATGCCGACTGGCAGCCGGCCGCGCCCAGAGGTTGCGCGTTGCGATGTTGAGGCCCTCCTTTTCGTAGAAATCCTTGTCCTCGATGTCCCACTCCTGAGGCGGCGCAAATTCGAGTCGGGGCAGAGTGGGCAGCCGCGACTCTTGATATATGCGGCGCAAATTCGAGTCGGGGCAGGGTGGGCGGCCGCGACTCTTGATATATGCGGCGCCTCGAGAGTGATGCCTCCGGTCAGTGGCTGTGCTTTGCAGTGACCGAGCGACTTGGGGTTCTTTATCTGGTACTTGCCCGCTTCCTCTGCCCCCATGCTGAACCTGACGACACGAGAGCTGATTAGATTGAGAGCTGATTAGATGCGATGCGAGGGCGTTCGTCGAGACTGCGGCGGCGGCGATGAGGGGTTTGGGGCTTGCTGCTATTGTGGCCACGGCGGTGGCGCTGGGGGGTGGCGGTGGCTGTGGTGGTGGTGGCTCGGTGGCGGTGGCGGTGGCGGTGGCGGTGGCGGCCATGGAAAGGCAGCGGGCATAGCCACACTTCTCTATCACGGGCTCATCTCCCTGCTCATCTCCCCAAACACGCACAAAAACAAAATAAGTTTCTGCATCACATTATGCGGCGGCGGTACGTCTTCGGTCCCCGCGGGAAGCCCCGCGCATAGGACAACAACGTCTGTCCCACACACGCACACACAGACAAAGAATTTTACAACAAAACTCCCTCGCACGACACTGGGCACGGCACGCAAGTCAGTCAGTCTTACACACCTCCAAGCATGGAGGACGGGCCCACACGCACACACACGCTGCACACGATTGGCTCAGGAGCCGACACGAGGCACACTGTCACCGGCCGTAGCACCAAGTCCGGACTGCTGGACACACAGCACACAGCTCACAGAACAGCTCACGAGGTGGCGCTGTATAGTGGGGTTCTCAGGGACCGACACGGGAGAAGAAGGTGGAGCACAGGGACGGGGACACAGAACTCACGAACTGATATCCCACCCCGCGCCGGGGGCGGTGGCGCGCGCGAGCGCCGGGGTATTTGGACCCGCAGTCTGGCAGGCGCCAGGCCACAGATCCGCCGGCGGAGCCTTGAGTCGCATCCGCGATCCGCGCCGGCTCTCAGAAGAGATCCGGCGCGGTGCTGGCCGCGTCCTCCTAGCCCACACGATCACCGAGTTCACGATGAAGGGAGGCCGATCGCAGAGACGGGAGAAGCAAGTGTCGCACTGCGGCATGCGGTACTCCTGCTGCAGCGCGCGCGCGGTGGTGAAGAGAGTGCGAGCCCTTGAGCCGGTGGCGTTGTCCATCGCCGGCGCGTGCGCGCCGGCCTTGAGGTGGGTATACGCCAGCAGCTAGCCCAGGGGCTGTGGCCCTGCGCGGGCGCAGGAAATGCCGTGCGTGCCGGGGTCCAGCGGCCCCGCTCGGGGAGTTGAGGCGGCCGCCCGTGAGGAGATTACGGCACGCAAGAACGTGCAAGAAGAGAGTGAGAGAGCTACGGGACCGGCCCCAGCTTCGGCTGAGGGCTAACAAGCTGCCGAGCCCAAATCACTGTGAGGGTCTTGATTTCTTGTTGGTCTTCAAAAATCTCTCTCTCGGCACGCACAGACAAAGAAAACAGCGTCCGAAACCAAATCAGCGTCGCGTGGTGCATGCACATTATGTGCATGCACATGCACATGTGTCATGTGCATCTCTCACATGCACATGCACATGTGCATGCACATGTGCATGTGCATGTGCATGTCGGCTCGGGCTCCAGCCTACTTGACCCCGCCTGTCTGGGCTCTGGCAGGCCGCGCAGCGAAGCGACAATGGCAACCCCCCCCCCCCCCCAAAAAAAAACACACACACACCCTACCTACTACCACCACTACCAACACTACCAACACCGCCACCTGGACCAAACAAGCAAGGCCAGTTTGTTAGGTTAGGTTAGGAGAGATTGTAGGTTAGGTAGTAAGGTGAAGGAAGAACAGTCTGTCTGGCTCGGACTGCGGGGACTGGGACATCACCGCGACAACAAAAAAAAATTCTTCTTTTCTCTCCAACGCGAAGAGATCTCTCTCTCCAAACGCGTTGGAGTTTGTTGTCTTGTAATGGGAGAGAGAGATTTTTAGCAATACCAAACAACTCTATAACACTTACACGTCATTTGTTTGTTTGGGGAGAGAGATTTTAGCAATACCAAACAACTCTAACACTCACACGTCATGACTAATGTTGTGTGTTTTGTTTGTATGGGTGGACGCGGGTCAGAAGCCGACGACACGCGCGCGATCGCCGAGCGACACACACACACAGACAACACACAAGCTCACAAGACACTCAGCCAGCTGGCCACACATCCCGAGTAAGCGTATACGGCGGCATCGCGTTGGAATGCGGAGATAGTAACTACTCTCTGTGGTGCCCCCTTTGGCACTTTACTCCTGTCCCGCGTGACCCTCTGTCTCACATGAGTTTCGTCCCACACTGGGCAAATCGGCCGATTTCCCTCCCGCTAAATCATCACGGCCCCGTAACACCCTCCACGCGCGGTCAAAGGCTTCCCAGGGCCGGTCCATGACATGAACCGATAGACACAAGCAAAAAAAACCGCACCTCTAAGCTTATCGGGCACCCCGAGGCCCATACGGCGTCCCGGCGGGCCCCGGCGGAGGTCCGGCGCGGCGCTCCAAATCCGCACTTCGCGAGCTTCTACGGGAGTTCACGCGGCCTCTCCGCCTCGTGAGGCACACCCCACACCAACCACGAGCCCTGGGGCCGTGGGCGGACCTTTGGCCGCGGCGTCCGGAGCTTTAGTCGTCGAACATCGGCCGCCAACTAGGCCGTCGAGCGAACGTGTCCGGAGAGGCTCTCGGATGGGTCCGGCAGCGGTCCCATAGACCCAGAAGCTCGCCCCGGCGGAGCACTCACGGCTCGACCCCCGCCCCTGGTCACCCAGACGTGCCCTTGGACAGCCGTAGGGGCTCGCATGACGACGTTGGCGCCCGCGACGACGCCCTCCCCGACGACGTCGCATCTGGCAGACTACTCGGGCGCGGCGGCGCGGAGGATCACATGGTTTGGGACTCTGAGCGATGGCAGAGGCCTTTTACTGCAAACGAGGACGCCCCGCGAGGCCCCGTTGGCCGGGAGTGGTGAGTGGGACCATAAACAAGCACTATATCCCCTACCGCGACCAGCCCACACACAGCCCAAACCGCTGCCAAACCGGCCCTGGTCACGCAGGCGGGGAGGCTGCCGGGGCGCCCAAACAGTCCCTCACGAACGCCACACGGGCCACCACGGCCCGTCCGGCGGCCCGAGTGCCGCCCCACACCCGCCCGACGCCCTCGGCCAGCCAGCGCCCACTCTGAGAGGCTTCACCGCCGCCAGCGCGCCGAGCGCGCCGCCCTCTCCTCGCGCCACACGGGCCCCTGGCCGCACGCCCGAGAGGCGGCCCATAATTTGAGTCGAGACGCGCCGCCGGCCAGC